ACACCCCGCGCCCGGCACGTGAGCACCCCGCGCCGGCAAGTGAGTACCCCTTGCCCAGCACGTGAACACCCCGTATAAACACCCTGTGTGAACACCCCGTGCCCGGCATGTGGACACCCATGTGAACACCCCGTGCCCGGCACGTGAACACCCTGTGTGAACACCCCGCGCCCAGCACGTGAACACCCCATGCCTGGCCCGTGAGCACCCCGCGGCGGCACGTGAGCACCCTGTGCCCGGCACGTGAACACCCTGTGTGAACACCCCGTGCCCGGCACGTGGACACCCTGTGTGAACACCCGGTGCGCGGCACATGAGCACCTGGTGCCCGGCACGTGATCTCCCTGTACCCGTACCCGGCACGTGAGCACCCCCTGCCCAGCACATGAGCACCCCGTGCCCGGCATGTAAGCACCCCTTGCCCGGCATGTGAGCACCCAGTGTGAACACTCCATGCCCGGCACGTGAACATCCCGTGCCCGGCAAGTGAACACCCGTGCCCAGCACGTGAACACCCCATTAGAACACCTTGTGCCAGGCACGTGAGCATCCCGTGTGAACACCCTGTGCCCGGCAAGTGAACACACCGTGACTGGCACGTGAACACCCCGTGACCGGCACGTGAAAACCCCCTGCCCGGACGTGCACACGCCGTGCCTGGAATGGGAACAACCCGTGACCGGCACGTAAACACCCAATGCCCGGCATATGAAGACTCCGTGCCCGGCACGTGAACACACCTGTGAACACCGGTGCCCGGCACGTGAACACCCCGTGCCCGGCACGTGAACACCCAATGCCCGGCATATGAAGATTCCGTGCCTGGCACGTGAACACAGCTGTGAACACCGGTGCCCGGCACGTGAACACCCCGTGCCCGGCACGGGTGCACCCCGTGACCGGGACGTGAGCACCCCGTGTGAACACCCCGTGCCAGGCACGTGAGCACCCCGTGTGAACACCCGGGCCCGGCACTTGAACACCCCGTGTCCGGCACGTGAACATCACGTGTGAACACCCCGTGCCCGGCACGTGAACACCCCATGCTCGGCATGTGAGCACCCCGCGGCGGCACGTGAGCACCCTGTGCCTGGCACGTGAACACCCTGTGTGAGCACCCCGTGACCGGCACGTGAACATCCGTGTGAACACGCGGCGAACGGCACATGAGCACCTGCTGCCCGGCACTTGATCTCCCTGTACCCGTACCCGGCACGTGAGCACCCCCTGCCTGGCACATGAGCACCCCGTAGGTGGCATGTAAGCACCCCTTGCCCGGCATGTGAGCACCCAGTGTGAACACCCCGTGCCCGGCACGTGAACATCCCGTGCCCGGCAAGTGAACACCCGTGCCCGGCACATGAACATCCCATGCCCAGCACGTGAACACCCCATTAGAACACCTTGTGCCAGGCACGTGAGCACCCCGTGTGAACACCCTGTGCCCAGCAAGTGAACACACTGTGACTGGCACGTGAACACCCCGTGACCGGCACGTGAAAACACCCTGCCCGGAAGTGCACACCCCGTGCCCGGCACGTGAGCACCCTGTGCCAGGCAAGTGAGCACCCCGTGTGAACACCCCGTGCCCGGCACGTGAACACCCAATGCCCGGCATATGAAGACTCCGTGCCCGGCACGTGAACACAGCTGTGAACACCGGTGCCCGGCACGTGAACACCCCGTGCCCGGCACGTGTGCACCCCGTGCCAGGCATGTGAGCACCCCGTGTGAACACCCCGTGCCCGGCACTTGAACACCCCATGTCCGGCACGTGAACACCCCATGCCCGGCATGTCGACATCCCGTGTAAACACCCCACGCCCGGCACGTGAACACCCCATGCCCGGCATGTGAGCACCCCGCGGCGGCACGTGAGCACCCTGTGCCCGGCACGTGGACACCCGGTGCCTGGCACGTGAACACCCGGTGTCTGTCACGTGAACACACGGTGCACAGCACATGAACAGCCCGTGCCCGGCATGTAAGCACCCCTTGCACGACATGTGAGCACCCCGTGTGAACACCCCGTGCCCGGCACGTGAACAACCGTGTGAATACCTGATGCCAAGCACGTAAAAACCCGGTGCCCGGCACGTGAACACCCCGTGTCTGGCACGTGAATACCCGGTGCCCGGCAAGTGAACACCACGTGCTCAGCACATAAATACCTCGTGCCCGGCACATGAACACCCCGCGCCCGGCACGTGAACACCCTGTGTGAACACCCCGTGCCCGGCACGTGGACACCCGTGTGAACACCCCGTGCCCGGCACGTGAACACCCTGAGCCCGGCACATGAACACCCCGAGCCCGGCACGTGAGCAGCCTGTGTGAATACTCCGTGCCTGGCACGTGAGCACCCCGGACCCGACACGGGAATACCCCGTGCCCGGCACGGGAATATCCCCTGTGAACATCCCGTGCCCGGCACATGAACACCCTGTGTGAACACCCCGTGCCCGGCACGTGAAGACCCCGTGCCCGGCACGTGAGCACCCCGCGCCCGGCACGTGAGCACCCCGCGCCCGGCACGTGA